GTGCCTTAAGGTACAAGTCAATGGCTCCTGTAATCCACTGCCAGAGCACAGAATGTCCAGATTATAATTAAATCCTGACCGCTTGGTATTTACTTTTATTACACTAATACTGAGAGGCCCCAGTAAGATGGGAGCCAATTGTGCTGTGTGCTGCGCACATTCACAGCCACTGCCTCAAAGACCTCACAGAGCAGGGCAAAAGCAAGCAAGCAAACACTATTTTCAACAGCAGCAAAAAAAGCCTTAATTCTGCTGCTCCTCTCCTTGAGGCATTAATCCAGAGAGAAGAGGAAACCTGTCCCACATGAGTCATCTGTGCAGATGAAAGCGCAGGAGGATCCTCCTATCTCCCGTTTTATCTTTGCCTTCGACATTGCTGCTTCTTTCCCAAGCAGAGGGTTTGCAGTGAGCCTTGGAGCGCGGGCGGCCCTGGGCAGGAGGCTGTGGAGTCTGGAGCACCAGGAGCAGGGAAGCAGGGAAGCAGGCAGCGGCCTCGCTTCGTGCAGTCTGGCTCCCGCCGCGTGAGCAGGCGCTTGGCAAGGCACAGGAGAAGGATTATGTCTGTCAGAAAAATTTTTATGGGACCCAACTCTTCCAGGGATTGTTTCAAATCCGCATAATGCTCTTGAGTGTTAATGCCTGCATGGGGACGTTTGCATTAGCAGATAAATGCACAAGAACACGTTTCCAGACATCTGCCTCAGGACTGCACATCGGAGGAGTTCGCAGAAACTTGGTCCAAAGTCCACGAGGTCCTTGGGCTCCTGAAATGACTTCCAAGGTTTGTAATAAATTGTGCTGCTGAAGTGCRCTGCAGTTAAGCAATTCTCACATGATAGAAACAATGTGTGGTGCACTGCACTAAACCCACTCTGTGTTATTTTAACTTTTCAGCCCCTGAAAGTGTTCAAGGGGGAACAGAGACACTGGAGCAAAAGAGACTCATACGTATAGATGTTGTGAAAACAGGGAAGAAGAAAACATGGGAGAAAGGCCCCACGTTACGACCCCCCCCCCCCCAGTTCAAGCCTAGTGGATAACATTTTAATACTGATCTTTGCTGTACTTTTTATTAGCCATAAATGAGAAAGGTGAATGGAGTTGTTATGATATTAGTGTAACAGTCTTTCTCCCCCAGATTTCCAGTGGCCACTGTTATGGGCTTGTGGCACAGATTTAGTTCTTTCCCTTCTCTAATGCCACAAACTCATAAATAATATTAAAGAGCTTAGGAGTTTTGGTTGAGCCATACCTAGGACAAATACTAATGCTAGAATTCAGATGAAAAACCCAAATTCTTCTAGGAAAGATCAACTAAGTCAGTACTTTATAAACACCAGTAATAAATAGCCGAGATGACTCCTCCTACAAATAGGGTCTTAAGAAACTTRTAAATGATGCAGAGTCACACTTGCATGTATAACATGCCAGTGCGGAAGCTCTCTTGTGCCRTCTTGATTTTCTGGAAACAAACCCAAAAGCCAAGCAGCCTAATCACAGAACCTGCGCACAGAGCTGCAGGGCAAGACCTGCTTCACTCTGTATGTTCTTCCCATGGCTAACACAATTCAAAGGYGTATGAAGGCCATATAGCTGTAAGAGTTATAGGTAGGTAACCAGGGAACATCCCATCCCAGGCTCAGCAGCTGACAGCGGGTACAGTCTGCGGGGTCTGCTTTGACCCTGATCTTTGTTGTGCTTGGGAACATGTGAAGCGCGTGCTAAATCACCATGCAATGAAGCAACCACAACAGGTTGGCAGAGGTACCCAGGAGTGAACCTGAGTTGTGATGCCCAGCTACCCGCAATCCTAAAAAAGACTGATAACAGAAATAAAAAAATAATCAAATGCTGAGCAGCCAGTTTCACCACAATGTTACTCAGCTTCAAGGAAAGCTATAAGCAGGAGTCGGATGGGATAAGTGCAGGTCTGCATAACATGTCAGACCTATTAAAAGGCACGTGTGTGTGCAATGCAGTGCTACTACACAGCATCTGCTGGGGATGTCCATGATGGGCTTGATTGCTTTCAGTCAAGCCCTTTGTACCGACTGTTATTAAATGCCTCCCCCTCCCCCAAATTAGCTTCTTAATAAYGAAAAGATGTCTTAAAAAGTTAAAGAACCCCACTGGCTTTACCTCATTTAAGAACAACTGAGAGACGTGGTTCTATCAGGCTGGTGATTAGGAAACTCTTCGGAGAGCAGATTAGCTGTTGCTGTAAATCTGCTGCACATCTGTTATGGGAAAAAGGGGGGAATTCAGCTTCCCAAATCTCCCATTTCCCGGCTGAGTGTTTTTATTACTGGACATGGGCAGGATATAACCCATCTGCTCCCTGGCTGCTAAGGGAGGGTTAGGCAAGTTCTGGCTATTCCTGCTAGACCAGGACGAGCAGATGACAAAGGCGGGGAACCCTGTGTCTGCATCCCCGTGCTGCCACCTCTGTGGTTGGTCCTGAGCATCCTTGGGGCTCCAGGGGTGCCCCAGGTGMCAGCAGGATTAGCTCACCGCTCATGACAGAGATGTTGTGAGTACATCCGAGTACCAACATCCAAGCGCCAATATCTAGAAAGCCTGTCAGGCACCTAAGACCTCCTTGTGAATCTGACTCACAAGGGATACAACGATGGAGCTCTAACTCCCCACCCCAGTTCTTCCTAACTTCCATAATTTTACTCATCTTYGGTAACATTTCCTTGCTTAGATGCTTAACTTCACACAGGTAACTGATCACAAGCTGGGAAGCTGCTCACTCCCCYGTGGCCTGCTTCTGGCAGAACGGTGTTGCTCATTACTCTTGCTCTTTGCCCCTTTGGCACATACCTCTCTCTCTGTCTCTTAGGAAAAGCGTGCGCATGCGTGCACACACCTACACATATGCATTTATCTGATTAAATAAACCTATTTTCATTTTAATTCTATTCAGCAATAGATTTTAGTGTGAGCAGTAAAAAAATATAAGATGTTCTAGACAAATTATGAGGTGTTAGAGGGCAACTCGTGGGCTATCCATGCAGTGCAGAGCTGTATACAGAAGGTGGAAGTGCAGCCTGGAACTGCGGAAAGAACCAGCAGTGGGAGCAGAGGAGAAAGGAAACCAAGGAAATGCAGAGATAGCCCCGTCATAGCGAGTAAATGAGGAGCATATACGTGACTCTGTGAGTGTTTCAAGTGCTCAGGTCTTCTAAGAGGCATTTTGAAACACAACAGTGAAGGAATGCTGTGTATGTGGTAGCAGGAGCAGGAGGAATAGAAGTACCCTCACCTGAAAGCACCAGGAAAGCCAGTGACGGCAACAGCTGAAGTGAAAGGTTCAGCAGATTACCCTAAAAAAAAAAAGAGAAGTCAGTATCAATTACAAAAGCATCCTGAGTAACATTTCACAATGGTAGAAAATTGTGGATTTTTTTTTTCCCAACAAGACAGATGAATTAGTATATTCCAACATAAGGATCCTGGATAARCTAATTGGCCTCAGTGCTTCATGCTTTCTCAAAGGACATAACGGGGTATCTAGAACAAAAACATGCAGAGAAAGGGTATGGATTCCAGAAACAGTGACTCATGCATTTCCAAAACAGTGTTATAGCAAGTTGCTGTCCAAATTTCCTGCCGTATTATATRTAATGCACATTCAGTGGTGCTGCTGGCACACGTCCCTCTGAGTCAGTTTTGAACCAGTGCCTCAATTCAGAGTTAGGCGACCACTGCGCGGCTGGAGCTTCTGTTGTTACAAACAGATGCAAAACAAATGTGCAATTTCCTCGCAGTCGGTGGGGTCCCCTCACCACGGTCCTGACCCGATGAACACATTTCAAGGTGTGCATTACCTTTGGCGTTTCTGGGCCCTTCTGGTTGGTTACAGTGATCATTTTCGCTTGGATTAAAGTGACATTTAGCATTGCTCTGGAGATCTGTACTCTGAGGAAAAAGAACAGAAAGCCAGAAGAGAGAAACACTCTATAGTTTTTATCTTAAGTACCTAATGAAAATGTATTACTTCTTAATGCCATGTGACCTTTTGTTTCCTGTGGATCCTCCTTGGACCGTGTATTTGATAAGCTCTTAAAGGCATGGGAAAGCCTGGGGAATGGTGAGATGAAGTGGAAAGAATTACAAGCCTTACCAATACAGACATGAATTCACAGATTCTGGGCACAAAACCACCTGCTTACTACACAAGCTGGGGAGTAAACTCCCATGGGAATTCCTCTCAGCGTCTTTGTTTTTTTTCCCCTTCTATCCTGAGTTTAACTGTTAAAAGAGGTACTGTGGCTTTTGGGAGTTCTTGACCTGCCTATGGGAAGTTCACGGCAGCTTGTAAACGGACCACAGAAAAAGGCAGTAATATAGAATAAAAATCAATGAGCTGGCCTCAGAACAACCATATCCAAATTTTTTGAAACTGTTCAAAGCAAAGAATAAGCAAAGAAATGCCTCCTCTTTTCYTTTTTTTTTTCTTTTTTCTCTTTCCTGTTTGGGAGGTTTGCTTGAACAAAAGACATCATGGGGCTCTGTGGGTCTTCCCCTAGCACAGCTTTTGCCTTCCACAAATGCAAATGTTTCATACCACGTGGAAATCTGGAAATGGATATCTTAAAGGAGATCTCCTTAAACTGATAGCCTGGTTTTAAGGAATCAAGTTCAAACTTTTCCCAGAGCACATTTCTTGTCTGCTGAAACAGAGTGGATTTTTCATAGGTTAGGTGTTGCCTCGTGTGCTGGCAAATCACCTTTGTACATTTGCACTGAGGCAAGATGGTATTTGAATTTGCTGGAATGTTTTACATATTCATATAGCCTGAAGCTTGGAAACTTTTTATCACCAGCAGAGCAGCACAGATGACAGTAAAGATACAGTTCAGGCAATGGAAAATGAGATGAGACTCACATTTTCTTCAAAACACTTTGAATACAGAAGTCCAGATGTCTTTTGTGATTTGCAGATTATGTTGCACTGGATCCCAGAGTCAGCTCAGATGAAGCACAGCTTGGTCTCCGAATGAATTTTAGACATAAGTATGGCTCATGCAGCAGCTTTTCCTGGCTGCAAGAAGAGTGACATGTCACCGCAGCTCAGACTCAAGTGAGCAGAGCAACTCCCTACTGCTCTTCCTACTGGCCAGATCACAATTAGTTTCTAGCACTGATGGCTTCAAAAAACCTTACTCTTAGGCACATAAATTTTCTTTTAGCAACCTASTTTGAATGGCAGAGCACTAAAAATTAGACATCTTAATAGAGAGCAATCTTAAACTGGGAGTGCTTAGAAGTCCAGGAAAATTAGTTTTTACTATTTCACTCTGGTCTGATGTAATCCAGATATCCAATCTTGCAATTGGTCACTTTTGCAAAGACCATTCTACAACAGGAATCTTAAAAAGAAAAAAATGTTTACTTGCAAAATCAGATGCAGCTGAGTTGAGAACAGAGCTCCAGAAGGGATGAGGAAAGGACACAGGAGGCTCTCCTGCTAACGCTCAGTTACTGGTGCTGCAGCTGACAGAATCCATAAGCTTTATTAATGTCTCCAGATCCCTAGGTCCGTGCAACCACCTTCCTGTGCCTACAATAGGTAGAAAAATTGTTTTGCAGCCTTGGAAAATGTGGCTTTTTTCACAATTATGATTCATTTATATAACAACAAGATGCAAATCTAAGGCTACAGAGCAAATGATGAGGTGTACGTTTTACCTTGTAGGATATATTCACAAGTTATTAAATTGTGTTACGTATTCACATTAAATAAGAATATTCATGTACTCTATTACACGACACATTAAAAAAAAATCAGAGTACGATACAACATTCACACACCCAGGAAAAGGAAAGAAAAAGAAACGTTGAATAAGTACTACTATAAAAATGTTAAACTTTTGCCAGAGAACTTGTAGTCTCTTTACAATTGTGTTTGATCCTCCTCTTTCAGTTTCTCGTGGGACCCTTGTCTAGCTCTGTCATTCTTCATTATGAGACTGACATCAGTCAGCTGGTTTGTAGCCAACTGCACTAATAATAAACTGGCAGGGAGATCAGAAATTACTGGAACTATTTGGTCATCTTAAAACTGAAAAAGAAGGACTACTCCAAAAGTCCTGAAGGCAGAAAAGGAACACTCTTAAATGCCATTTGTGTAAGAGTAGCTGTTTCACGGCAGAAAAAGTCTACGAAGTTGYGAGTTGGGCCCAGGCAAGAGAATGTAATTGTTCTAAAAAAGATTAATTTTAGTAAAMATCAATGTCTTTTTTTGAGTATCCAAATATTTAAAAATAAGAAATAAGATGCAAAGGAAAAAGACTTTTCACATCATATTACCTACAGCTTTATAAATAACGTTCTCMCTTTGTGTTATATGGCTTATAGCCTAAACCCAAACCTTAATACACTGCATGAGCTTTTGCGTCAGCTACATGTGCTCACACTTAGCTTGATGATCTGCACTTCTGGATGTCCAACCTGCAGTTTCTGAGGRCATTCAGGCCCACCGTGCTGAGGCCCCTCATCGGTGGCTTTGTAGTGCTAATCTGGCTGTGCTGGTGCATGCATCACTTGGAGATCGCTGCCCGAGTGCTCCTGAATACCTGGTTGGGGAGAGAGCTTCGGGAAGCTCTGGAGCATCTTGCTAATACTCGGAGAAGACAGAAAGAAGACAGAAACAATCACCCAGTGCTTCTGTCTATCTCTGTTCGTCTGCAGGTGTTGGGTGGAACTCYACGTGCTTTGAGGTAGCTTCTGTCATCCCATGCCATTTTTCTATTCATTTCCTAAACATCTTCTATTTTACTGCTTTGAAGAGAGCTAACAAGTTTTATCCCTGTTGAAAGTTCCCGGAGCAGGAAGCAAAGCAACCCACAGCAYTACACCAGGCGTAGCAGTTACATTTTAGTTGGAGGGCACCCCTTCTTGCGTGTGTGCCTGGAAAAAGGTAAGAGGTGCAGCTCTGTGCACCTGRGTTACACAACCCCATCTGCTTATTGCTCTGCTGTTACTGCCAGCAGGAAACGTGACTCGAAGTCACTCCTRCCATTGTGGCCAAGACGCAGCATTAAACCACAGCCCTCAGAGCTARAAGTGGGAGGTTGTACTGAGAGCTAAGCTGTCAAGTTGACATTTGCTGCATACTCATCCTTCGGGTGCACTGCTATCCAAACAGAACATGACACAGGTGGTCACAGGCCAGTGTCACACACACAGAAGGGTCACGTACACTTGGGGAGTCACAGACCAGCACAAGATGCACGGTGCTGGTGTGCGAGGCTCACCCAACTGCACCAGCAGAGGAACACAGACCCTGTGGTCTCCCCATCTCCAAAGAGGTTATTTCTCCCCAAGTTGTGCAAACAGGGGCCCCTCTGAAGCCCGGGCTCCAGAGAAAAGCTGCATGCAGACACACTGAATTAGCTGCTCCGAAGAGCAGTGTGAAGCGAAGGACAAGCCACAGCACCAATTGAGAAGCATGTGCTAGGAAGCCGAGCTCTGCATCTTCGTGCCTCTATACATACACTTCAACGTAACATTTTCAAATAAATATGGTCAGAAAAGGTTCACAGCTCCCCTCTGCTGGCTTGAGGTTTGCGGCTGTAGTCAGCAATGAAGGTAGGGAACTGCATGGAAACTCTCACAGCACTTCAGAGAGGGAGAATCTTGTGCGCCTCTGGGATCGTTCCTTACGAGTGTATTTGCAGAGGAAAGAGTGCTCTTAGTGTATTTTTTTTTCTTCCTCAGAAATACATGGCTACATCTACACACAAGAGATTATTCATCAAGTTTAACATGTTCAGCTTCGTGCATACTTTCCATGTGGTTAAAATGCTATAAAATACACCATAGACAAACACTGACAAATAACGTGTAAAGAACAAGCACATAAGGGAACAACAACATAACGAAGCACAAATCCCAGACTGCTTTTATGCATTTTTTCTTGTCCAGAGTAAACAAGCAAAATACTCTGGCATAAAATAGTCAGCAGAAGCATCTTTAAAGATATTATGGTTCTTCCTGTATGCGTTATCACTGCACCAGAAAAACAAAAAAAATCAGATTATGCTTTTCATTTACACTTCATTTTTAAATTATTATCATCTTCATTTTCAATTAGATGACTTTTTAAAAATACATCTGTCAAGATTTTACTCTACAACATAACATTAACTGTGATACAGGTCCCACTGCACCTGAATAAAGGTTGGTGAAGTATATCCAACTTCTTGCTTGGAAAGCCGAGTCCAGATGTTTCTGCTGGAATCTTTTTGTTGCTGCCAAAATCTTTTCAAGACCAATTTCTCCAAGGCCTGAACCATTGCCCATTGAAAGCAAAGGGAAAGATTCCTATTGATGGCAGTGGGCCCAAGTAAGCCAGAGGTTTAAACTGCCCTTGCCAGGAAATTTTGTTTATGTGCATTCTGATGACTTTTAAAGCTTCTCCTTTGTACTTATTTTTCTTATGAATCTTACCTTTCAGTGAGTTTTTTTTCCAGACACCTTGTTTACTGGATAAAACGGAGTTGGTGGTTTCTATTCTTCATCCAGCACAGAAGACAATTTTATTGCCTTCATTTGTCAGAAACCTTTTCAGTCGGGTTGCATYGTGAAGCACAAGCAATATTAAACCATTCTGCCATCCAACAGCTTGCTTTTCTCTGTATAAACACAGGGGATGAAGGAAAAAGACTCAGTCATGTGCTAAAGAAAACTAAGCAGTGCCTTCACAATAAAACCACAGAACCCAGGTTTTTAACAAGTTTACCCAACAGCTGAAGTTTAGCTGCAGTTTGGCCTAGGTGAGCACAGACACTCCAGTGTGGACAGGGACTGAAGGCAGATTTCAGCGTGGAAAGAACTAGGACAGATTCACAAGGGAAGGTGTGGGAGCCTGGGGTCACGTACATCCCCCTTTGATGCCACTAAAAGGTAATTTATTACACTAAGCTTCTTACACCAAGGCAGGTGAACAAACCTGTCCGGAAGGGGCTCCCTGGGGCTGCCGAGTTATCTGGGAAAGCAAACAGGAAGGGAATGGAAGCATGTGCATCTCGTGAGTTGCTACGGGAGAACTCAGTTTCAGAGGGCACCTAAGCCATCAATTCTTGCTGTCAACAGGATGGGGTAGCCGGCYGTCTGCAGAAGAGCTTTCCACAGCGCAAACAAGGGCACTCAGAGTGCAACGGCTGGCTCCATTTGTCTGTCTTAAAACTTCTTTCCTTCCATTGTATTTTTCAGGAGCAGTTCAAACAACTGCAACTCCCTGCTTTAATGGAGCAGAGCTCATTGTTTTAGCACACATTTGGTAATTACGAAAAAATAAAGGGGGGAGGGAGAAGGGGAATGAGGAAAAAGGACACTATTAAAAACAGCAAATGCTGCTACCCTTTGATATCAAAATTAATTATTGTAACTGCAAATCATAGCTAGCTGGAATTTGGCYATCAGAAAATAATCCTCCATTTCACACTGCTTTTGTGCAAGACAACATGATAGAAGGAGGAAAAAGGTAACACTTGAACTGTGATTGGGAAGAAAAGGAAAAATAGGGAGTTGGTGGCACTATTAATAAAAAAGAAAAAAGTTAAATGATGTCAAGGGTTACATCTAGTTTTAGGAAGAAGACAGCAGCTTCCTGGACCAGGGCAAACCTCTCACAGTAAGAAGCAGGGTTTGATCTCTAGCCCATTGTGGTCTAGCTGGCTGTCCCTCTAAAGAGCAGCTCTATTTCCACAACAGAGGAGGACTTTAGTCATGTAAATTTTCCCTCTCAAGCCAAAGGGCTGCACACAGGAAAGGCTGCAAAGAAAGCACATGAACTTGTATGAGAAAGGGTACTGTGTGAAATGCAGGTGTCCCAAACCTAGAACTCCCAATGGCAACACAGAGAAAGAGGAGGAATGGTCCTGACTGCCTCTGTGACCCTCCACCTGCCACAACCCCTGGATCCCTCATGCTGGAAGGTGACGGGATTTCTCTCTGAGGATGTTAACTTGGCACCCTGCATTTAGGGCTCTTATTAGAAACCTATATGCAAACAATTAGATATTCACCAAAAAGCCAAATCAAAAACAGTTTCAGATACAAAGTCTCTCCCCTTTCCTCCCACAAGATTGGCTTGAAACTTGAATCCCTTGTAGTGATTTTTGCAATGCAGTCTCATTGCTCTAAAAATGACATTGACACTGAAGCCAGCTGGGGAGCGGGGACAATGTTTCTGTTTTGTGTGGCAGGACAGTCCGTATCTGGTCTGGAACCCGGCGCGCAGGCTTCCCTCCTCCCCGCACATTGCGGCTGAATGGCTCCGCTGTGTTGATTTGAAATGACCTGACTAATCTCAACTTCCTCCAACAGTTTAATGAAATGTCAGAAGTGAACAAGGTCCGCGGAATTGAAAAAAGACCATTCAAACAACGATGAAAAGAAACACACKGACTGCAGTTTTTAAATGGTCTTTGGGCAATTGGAAATAATTCAATTAGCTTTAGCCAAGTTGCAGTGTAAACACAGCAAGAAGCAACTGAGAAGTGTTTTATACAAAGCCCCATTTTTCATCTGGATTCTAATCTGATTCAGGATTACAAACGGAGACATATGGAAAAAGCTTCAGTTAGGTAAGTGAGGAAAATATCCTCCTTTACCCCTCAGATCAGTTGGTATTTGGAAACCCAAACCACAGAGCAACTGCTACGGAACCCTGGTTCCACCATCTGAAATTACAGCAGCTCAGGGTAGAACGGTTCTGGCAGGAGCAAGTCCCGCTCTTTTCCAAGAAAATTTTAATGCTGTTCTCAACTGCAGAAGAAATTAAATATGCTGATTGTGAGTCCAACCTCACTGAACACCAACTCCAAGGGAACAGCTTAAACTACCCTCCCTGGTCAAGCATAGTACAATGAGCTCCAATAAACACGTGTTGGTGTTTTGGCAGCATCATTAGTATTTTACTTCATATCAGTATTTAAAGCTTTGTTGCAAGAATATTTTCGTTCCTGAAGGCAGGCCCCACTTTTCAAGAACTATCCCATGAAACTAAACTTCTCTTCCCCCTGAAGGCAAGAGGGGCCCTGCTKTCCTGTGTGGCACAAAATCTCCTAGCTAATACCCAAGCAGAAATCTTCCTCATTACTATTTTTCCCCAGGTGCTTTCATACCCGTTATAACCACAATAGAGGTTTAGTACATTTGTCCTGTAGAATAAAGCATCCTGAAAGGCACAAATGTGCTTTCCAGAGTTTAACACACCCCTTAGCTGCTGTATTAATATTTGCCTGCAGAACGAATGCAGCCATTGCAGCAATAGTCTGACTGTGAGATGAACAGGAGTCGCTCAGACATTCCTAAATGTGGACCATACTGGAAAGACGTGGCTGTCCAAATTATTATGGGAGGCCTCCTTCCTGCAGCAACTCCAACATCCAATTACACTGTCACTGCCTCTCGACTCTCCACTACCTTCAGGCTCACTACACATTCCTGAATTTTCATGAGCATTTGCCCAAGTTCTACCACCCAAAGTTTGGAGATGCCAGATCCAAGCCATGCTGGAGAACTAACCATCCTTACAACCTTTAAAATCTCAAGTTGACACTCTGTGCAAAAGGAGTTGCATGGTCATGTTACCAACTGCCAACTATTGAGCAGAAATCTGGCAGAAGAGTGGGCAATGTGGAGGCTGGGCAGGCAAACTCCCAATTCAGCACAGCTTTCAGCACTAACCAGCTGCCCTGACGCTGATGTATTGTTTGTATGTGGAGTCTGAAAGGCTGAATTTCAAGAAAGAAGACGGTTACAGAGAACATCCTCTCTTGAAACTCCCGCCTCTCATCCAAATGATGCAATGCTTGAACCCTGAATGCTCCTTTCTTCTSCACAGATCATTTAATACATTAACCTGCACCCAGGCAGATCTTAATCCACAAACATCAGGAAAAAGGAATTTGTATGAACAGATGGATCTGTAAGGGACTGAGAAAAGCAAAGGGGCATGGAACTAATACAATGGAGAGGTTCTGAAACCTGCTTAAACGCTGAAAGGGTGAGTGTGGATCACAACAATTATCAAGAAATTGATGATTTTAGGTCGTTACAGAAACACAATGATGTTCGTACAAGCTAGAAGGTGGAAAAGGTGATTTCTTCCCTCACCCTCACTGCAAGCTCAGACACCGTAATGGCAGAAGGGCTGACASAGAAGCCCAGTCACCTGCGTCCTTACCCAGAATTACTATTTCTGCTCAACACAAAGCTCTTCCTGAAAAACTAATCTCTCAATTTAGGTGCTCAGGCCACACGAATTTCCAAGCACAGATATGTCAGTAATTGCTCTTGCGGCTTCCTGGGAATTTCCCTGGCTACTGGTGATTGGCAATGCTTTAGGGTCACGTCCGGTTAATTCCTTACGTATCTTGAGATCTGGATTTTGACCTGATACCATCAGAAGTGATTACAGCTGCTTAGGTCTCACTCAATAAAAACTTCAGTTTGCATCACAGAGCTAGGATGGGGTGGCTACGTGGGGTGGCTGCAAAACAAGGAGCTTGGTAACCTAACAAATGAAAAGGTGGGCTCTTACTCAAGGTTGGCATCTTCCAGAGCTGAGGGTCTTCACATCTTCACTTCCTTCAGGAAAACTGAAATGTAAAGACAGAACACAGTACTTGCAGGGAATTTATTTTTCCTTTATATATATATTTATATATATATAYACATAAATGTATAAATATATTGCACAGTACACCATTTGTCCAAAGGTTTTTGGTTTTGCTATAAATTATAWGATCATTTGCTGGAACAGGCAATATCAGGAACTGGAATTACCAGACCATCAYTGCAGGTTGCAGGGCAAGCAGGATGAACCATGTGTGTTTGTCAAGCACTATGTTTTGTGCGAAAGAAAGAAAACATTGCAATTTACTCCTGGGTCTAACTTTTAAGCTGGCACTTAAACTGGCATTAAATTTTGAAACATTACTTTTGATTTTAAGATGTTACAATTGTTGACAAAAAAAGGAAAGCAGAGAAAACTGAGTTACTTACATGTGTTTAAGTTGCTTCTGGCACTTGCAAATATCCCAACAGCATGTAGTAAAATAAAAAACAAAACCCTACTGCTTTCACATAAGTATATGTACTTTAAGTGATGAAAATGTACCAAAATACATGCTATCACTTCAATATTATCAGTTTATAACTCRAATCAAAACTGTTAAAAAGGGCTGTATAAATATAGTAAAAAGAAAAAAAAGTACCTTTGTAACCCATATCTTACACAGGCCTTTAAAAACTTAGAGTATTTTGCTTCTAAATATTAACCCAGTATCATTTTATGCTGCACAACTGGAAAAGAGACAAAGCAGAAGRTGCAAGACAGCTCACCAGGAACTTCGCTGTTATGTAGGAATTTCTGTTGAACTACTAGATCCTATGAAAAGCTAACTCCACTGAAATCAACAGGCATTTTACTATCAACTWACATAGCATGGACACTCATGGAATCAAATCCTGATGGAACGTAGGACAACAAATTGAAGCATTTGCAGACATCAGGTTTTCTGTCTAAATTAAGCACTGGACTTGTAAACAAGGAAGTGTATAAAAAACTACAGTTTAGCTTAATGTGAATCAAACCAATGATTCTTAAAATCCTGCAACTTTCGCCCTTTTAGTCTGGTGTTCAATTATTCTTACTGTATATCAAACAGCTGTTGAGGTTTAGCAACATTGCAGCTGTGGATTGATCCAAGTTTCTCAAAAGAAGGGCTTTTTTTTTTTTTTGGAAAAAAACACAGAGAGGATAGTTTTTGAAATATGCCATTGAGAACGCAGACACTGCATGCAGGGATGACTACCTAGACATCTAAGCAAGAGGCTTCACTCACATCTTCTGGGAAAGGCCAGTCCCAGCGCCATGGAGCTGATATGCTGGGCAGCGTCGATGGCTCCACACTGCAGGATACGCTCACTCTGAGGCAGAGAAGAAGGCAGACAGGGATGCCTTGGAGCACAAGGAAACCAAGCAGTGGAAGATAAAGAATACATAGGGAAAACGACAAGGATGGGGGCACATGTGTCCCTGTAACACAGAACAGATGCTGGGTGCATTCTCCAGTTCTGCTCTTAAAGGCACAAGACAAAAGAGAGAGTCTGAAACAATTATTCTGTGCTGCAGATACTCTTTCAGATGCATTTGCTCTTGTATTTTAGGCAAAAGAAAGAACATTTGAGGAAGCCGGCGCCTGCACAGTTTAAGGAGACTAATTCAAACAGGGCTACAAAACTCGTAGAAAATGTCCCACTATTGCCCAGAGAAAAACAGTAAATTACACTTCATCACTTACAAATAAAAAAAGTAAAAATTCTTACCCTGATATTTAATCTGCTTTCCCAGCTCAACTCTGACTTTACAAACATTGAATCACTTCCGCCTCACTCCTCTTTGGCTCGTTTTGGAGCTTAGTATTGCTTAGTCATCTTGCAATCACTTTACATTTGCTGATTTTTTTTTTGGACATAGAAAGCCTGTGAAGGGCACTGCACCCAACATTCCCCCCAAAGCACCCTCAGCTCCTGACAAGACCTCCCAGTCCAGTTGCTAGGCTGAAGTGAGGGCAAGCCTGGAGCTGCAGTTTGAATGGAGCTGCTAACTGGTTTCAATTTTTTGACACTTTTTTTGATTTTCGTTCATTGTAAGCTCACGAATAACTTTTGCACATGTTGGTTCTGAATAAAACACTCATACATCAGTTTATTGTTTCTCTTATTTGGAATTTCCTAGAGGAAACAYGTTGCCAAAAAATTAGAAGCATATTCAAAATGAAGAGTGCATTTTGACCCAAATGATTATAAATTAACTGAAAAAATACATATACAATCTCTTTTTTTTGTCATTTTCCAGAGAAAACAGGGAAATTGCAACAAAGAAGATTTCAAACAGTCACTGAATAACACTATGAAAGCAGGYTTGTTAATAAAGGTAAGAACCTTTCTTTAAAAACAAGAGGAGCTCTACAGCCCCAGGCTGAAAGCTGAGTGTTTYGAGATGTGGGCTGTAGGAAATTAAAATATTTGGTTTAATTAATCCTTGATGTACGTTCAATAAAAATAGTGGAACTACTCCACTCCAATTGGAACTATTTCCCTTCTCACAAAACCATGTTTACGGAGGAGCAAGCAGGTTTCCTCACAGATGCCTGGAAGCCGGGATGTGAAGCCATTCGGAGGCGCAGCCTTCTCAGCAGTTCACACTGAGGACTGCTCAGTTCTCCTGGGGGACAGTGTTGCTCAAGACTGTGGCCGAATGTCACAGGACCAYTGGTGGCAGCCGTGGGGAGAAGGGGGAGTTTTCACAATAGGAATTGTGCAATCAGATTAGCCAGTCCGAGGAGGATTATGAAGATGTGAACGATCAATGCTGGCCACGTCAGCTGCCCAGCACGATGCAGGGAGATCATRTAGATGAGGGATGGATACACAAACACGAAGGCCAGACCACATGTTGCTCCTGAGTATCTGGGGACGGAGGGGAAGAGAAGAGAGAGAGGAGAAGAAATAAAGAATACTTTGTGTTAACTCTTATTTTTTGTTGCCTTTTTCCCCTCCTTCAAATTATGAACAGTTTGACTGAAAAAAAAGCCTATTTGCAGGCACTGAACACTGATTCCTGCTCTGCGCTGTCCTCCACCCCCTTCACTGTCATTTAGCTCCCCTATCTCCCGAGCAGCCTCACTCTGCTCCTCCTCTGATGTTCCAGTCACATTCCCAGATGTTTCTGGAGACTGACTCCCCACCTCAGACTTTATGTTTTTACTTTCTTTTGGGAAATCTGTGCACAYATTGCGCAAAAAGACTGGACACTGCATCCTTTATCGTTAGGACTCTAACAAACCATTCTCCAGACTCAAATATATATGTGCAAATATATTTATATATATATCAACATCCCTCTCAACTGCTCTTGCTAGCACTCCCTTGCTTACCAAACCTCGAGAGGTTTCCACCTATGAAGTTCTCCTGCAGCCCAACGTGCACTGCCAGCTGGCAGCGCGTGTGCACTGCTAACACATCTGTGAGGTCAAAAGCCYGAACCGTCTCCCTCAGACGGTGCAAACATCACAGCAGGGAGTGACCCTACGCGCAGCACGACAGGCAAATATCCACGTTAGATTCTGTACAGCCAGTAGTGCATATTACTTATTTGCAATTAATAACCAGATGCTCTCTGTTAAGGAAATAAYAAAGTTTTCACTAAACAGCAACAGAAAGAAAAAATGGAGAAAAAGGTACTGAGCAAAAGTAAATTAGTTTGCTACACTACATGCTGTCCCTGTGGCTTATAATCGCAGATTTCTATACTTTTAAATACCTCCCTCTCCTGGTTGCTGTAGGTAAGATGCAAGCTTGCAATAAATGAAAACGATTACATATATAGTGATGTCAAATGTAGAAAATAGAACTGACTGGATAATTTCCTCCATGATTGGATACTGATTGGATAATAATTATCCTCCCGGATAATTATAGAAAACTCCTTTGGTGTTAATTAATATGGGTAAATTTAAGGTAACTTTTAGAATRCAATTTTGATTTCAGCTTTCCCTTTTGAATTACTTGCTTGCTTGGATTTTCATCATGAACTTTCAAATCAATCTCAAATGGCCTTAAAAGAAAAAAAACTGAAAGAAACTACAAGGTAACCGGACAACTTTTATGCTGACACCATATTCGTTAGCCTGGATAATTACAAGGTCCTCACATAAGGCTTCAATGAAGCTCAAGGAATCATCTCAATCAGCTCAGATACAAAGTGACAGTTAAAGAGCTGTTTATCAGAGCTTTAGAAGAACAGAGCATTTTTATTTTAAATCATTATTTGCAACTTATAGAYGTCTAAGCCCCACAAAATATTAAGATACAATTACCCACTCTCTTATAGTCTCTTTTCAACATGAAGAGGTAAAGATGAAAGAACTTACCTTATGATACCTCCTATATTTGGATAAAACCTTGCCATTGCTACTCCAGCTCCTACAATCGCTATGTTCAGGACCAGCACATGGAAAACGCTACGGGAGATTAGGAAAAAAGCGTTAAAATCTCTGCTCTATTATTACAAAATAAGACCATTATCCTTCATTTACATTAATATTTAACTGGTACATGGGTGGCGTTGCTATTTAAATGACTTGTTCTATTTGGGCTAATTAATTTCATAGCAAACATAACATCTACTGAATAGTCCGGGTGCCAAACTCTAAACATCTACTGTTTGGACTCAAAATATTCTTAAGGAGCAAGTATGTGTAATTTGGCAATTCTTCTGAAAACATCATACGTGGTACTCAGCACTCAAGTGTTTCAGATGGATATTCAAATACCAAAGAAACAATGCTGTGTAACCCAAGAGAGAAATAGCTTGTTCCAGGGAACGATCCAAGTTGGTCAAAGTGAACTAATGGAAACCAGAAGAGCGGACACATCACTGAGTGGAAAATATGACAGAATAATAAAAGGTTAATATTTGGCCCTTAATGTATTTTGATAAGCAAAATGCTTTGGATGGTGGACCTAATTTGATGCATGACCTACATACTATTTATACTAGATCTTTTGTTAATTTTGTTTTTATAAATAACTTCCTTCCACTTTCCCGTTTGCATCAAGAAAAAAAATGAGGGCTTTTGTTCTCCACAAGTAGCTTTTAATGTGCAAAGCAAATACAGTGCAGTGATTATACACAGAGCTCACACTCAGGAGAATATCACTTTTCTTTAGAGAACATAAAATGATTTATCCTAACATAAGGTAAGGTCACGAAACGCAACAGAAAACACATTTTTTTGGCCATTCAACTATTTCTGTAAAAGAAAAAAAGAATTCATTCAAAACGTACATACACTTACAAGTTCTGTTCATTTTAAGAAAACAAATCATCCAGGAGAGCAAACAGATATCCAGAAGTATCTGTGCTATGTAGAATGTCACATCTGAAGTACCAAGAGCGACCACCTCCTTTAGCAGAGAGCCCGAGTGCCCGTTTGGAATATAGGAAGGATGGTGAGATGTAACGGAGACTCATGCAAAGTTTAGGGGAATGGAGGTAATTCAAACAAAGAAAAAAATTTAGGATACAGACTACTTCTAATGTCTGTTCCTAAAAGTAGATTAAAAAAAGACAGATAAAACAACATTCTTAATTTGGCACAATGTTTTGGCTGTGATTCAGGAAGAGGAGGGCTCCAGAGACTGAAGATAGCAGGGGTATACAGCAACTGAAATTCCACCAACGCATCATTAGATATCATAAACCAAGTAAAATTCCAAGACGTGTTAGGGAAAAATGCACCAAATTCTTAATGTTTCTCTCATAATGCATTTAAAAAAAAAAGAATTGTTTCACAAAAATTTAACAGTTTGCAATTAAAATTTACTTCCTCTCTCCTGACTCATAGAGCAGATTGCAAATCTTCCTATCAGACAGGAGAGTTGAAGCCAGAAGATTCTCATCACAGGAAAGGATGGCACTACTTTCATTCTTTTTTGTCTGAGTCTGTTTTCTAGCAAGAATTATGAAAAAAAAAAAAAAAAAAAGAGTACAGACTTAGCAATTCAGAAGTGTTTTGCAAATTTGGATCAGTTCAGAAAATCTTAGAACAAAAACTGAGAAGTATTAAGTATTTCATTCTGATGGGCTTTAAAGCAGAGAAATGGATTTTTGAATTCAAAGTTGTTTAAAAAAAACAAACACCAATTATAGTTTCTTAAAAGCAACTGTCCAWGAGCAAGTGTGCGTGTGTGTGATGGAGAAGGATGTCTTTTTAAATCTCTTGATTTGGGAACAATTAGGGCAGGGAGAGGTGTTTAGGCTCAATTGAAAGCAAGTGTCTTTAAATGCTGGAGTCCCTGAAACACTCCATTATTTGCACTGTACCACTCAGCAGCTTTAATTGTTACAACTAAGGAGCACCCTCAAGAACAAGACCAAAATCAAAAAGGCTCAAAAGGACTTAAATCCATGTGTTTCAGGGTAAAGAGTTAGGCTCCATTCCTCCCCTGGAATCCCCCTGCATCATCTTCTATCACTTTCAGAGTGGTCCAAGCAGGAACCACATTGAACAAGACAGTCTGAAAGGCTGCCTATGCATTTAACCTGCAGCCTCATTGTTTTTCCCATGTAGCTGTTCAGGGTTCATCTCCCCTTCGAGACAGGAGGAAGAGGCTGGGCTGCCTGCCAGAGCCGCCAGCTCGTGGCACAAGGAGTGTGTAAGTTGATAAAACAAAAAAAACAAACCAACCAACCCAGCAAAAAAATCAAGCAAAACAAATGAAAAAAATATAAAAACAACAACAAAACCCACATCTACAACAATCTGAATGTGGCACACTGGGCTCAGATTTCTACTCTGTCTCCAGTTTCAATGTTCTAAGTTGGAAAGATGCATTTTTTTTTCCTTAAATGGAGTCATTGCTCCACTGCAAGGCTTGACAGCAGTAGCGGAGCAAGTCACTGCCCTCCCCTACATCATCTCCCATGTTTCAGTGYTGCCTTTATTGCAAGGTCACCCTTTCAGAGCGATGGGAGTGCAAAGACAAGCCTGCAAAGCTAAAAGGCCATGGCAGGGATTGCTCTACCAAGTAATCTCTTAAGGAAGTAGTAACTACAGGTAAGACAATAAGTGATAGTGACCACATGCATTAACTAACCTCAGTGTCCTCATAGAACAATCATGTTGAAACGTGGGAAACCAAACTGAGGGGAGGGCGTAAGATGAGGAGAAGAAACTGATTTAAACCTCCTTCAATTTGGAAGCAAGGCCATTAAAAATGCTAGACACCTTGGAGTCACAGGGTGAACACACACAATGCAACAACAAAGGAAACAGGAAAGCAAGGAAAAGAACAAATCAGGACAACTTACGTGACAATTTTGGAAAGCTGGCCAAGTCAAAACCACATTTTCTTCCTGGAAATCTCACCGCAGTGACACGAGTCAAAGGCTTTTGTAAAGCGCAGCAGGTAAGATGAGAGGTGAACCGGCAGGCGACAAGCGAGGGGGCAGCCCGCGCAGCACCGCAGAAGCGCCCGCGCTGCCTGCGGCACCGCAGGGAACGCGTGTCCGGGCAGCCAGCAGCGCTGTCACCGAGCGCACGAGAAAGCCAGGGGATCTCTCCTCGTCAATTTATTTAACCCTTCAGAAGGAGGTTATTTTTAACTGATCGGTACGCTGTATTTTATGCACAGCATGTAATTCATCAAGGGAATTCCCCCACTCAAATATCACAGCAGCCAAGAGCCAACAACAACAATACATTAGGTTTCTGTACACCCAGGAAGACCCACAAACATTTAAGAGAAGAGACAAACCACAGTATCAAATGCCTCTGGCCTCAAGTCATCCATTAGATGATGCCATTGCAAACATCTTTTAGAAAGCAAGCTATTTCCCCAAATAGGACATTTTGGGCATCTTTTACACGATCCGAGACATAATAAGAAAATAATCACTGCAATTCTGCTCCAGAATGTCACCTTACAAAATGAGAGAAGCCATTGGGTAAGTTAGTAAAAAGGAAGCATCTTTTATCTCAAGTCTTTCGTAGGAAGYACAGAAAAGCAGATTTTGTGACAATGTGGGTGGATTTTGTTCTCAGAAAAGAAAGTTCATTCTGTGTCAAGAGATGGAATTTAGACACATTGGTCTCTTTAAAAACATACTTGTCTCCAGAGGATGTATGAGGCTACTGATTTCCCCTCTGCTTCAGACAAGCTGTAGCTGCCCAGGTGATGCCAATGTTAAATGTCACAGTTTTGGTTCTACATGAAGAAAAAAATGTGCATCTTCTGCCTAAGCTTTGCTGTTTGGAAAGAAGAAGCTTTTTGCTCACACGAAAATACAGAGAGCTTACACCGCAGCTAAGCAGAGTAAAGCTTAGCTGCAGTGGAAAAAAAAAAGGCAAAAAATAACTTCATCATATTCAAGAACAGAGCAAAAGTAAAGAAATTGCAGTTAAAACAGAGAACTCAAACTGATCTGAGCCATAAAGTCACTGAAGTCACTGCTAGGAAATAAAATATTATCTGGCAGCCCTGTAACACGTGTGTGATAAGGCTGTTCAGTCAACAGCCTGCTCTAATATGCATCACTCCAGAGCCGAGCTGATCCCAACACACCATCCCTTGGCTCTAGCCCCAGCAGCAGCAGGTGCTCCCATCTTCAAACCCCTGCTCATGGGAAAGAAGCTTGGATTTTAACAGGAGGGAGCACCCAGCTCATATGAAACCTGCAGCGTGTCTATGTGGAGCAACCCAGGGCTTAAAAACAACGATAGGAAAATTGATCCTGGGGTTTAGGGACAAAATAGTTGGGATGGGGTGGGCAGGAAGAATGGCTATAGAAAGAAAAGGTGAATTTACAACATTCTTGCAGCCGCAAAGGAAATTTAATGYAAGGAGGATGCAATTGTTGAAATACATATTATTTAGTATGTTGAGTCATGGTAGGTTTAAACATGGCTAAACTGCCAATTAAAAGGGATCCTCAAATGTACAACCAAGATGAAATCAATGCACTGGCAGTGTGCTATACACACCAAGGGGTGGATGCACCATCAACAACAATCCTGTACCCTACCTCCGACAGCCTGAGAGTGAAAATAAAAGACAAAAAAATCACGTAAACATTCAGAATCAGTCATAAGAACACAGATTTTAAAGCATTTTCATTTTTAAATTCCTTATAGAGCTTCATGTTTCGCTCTGTTCTCTTCTCCTGCTTCATCGTTTTTGTTCCTTAATTATGCACAAATTTTCGCTTTCCTCTATGCACACACAGCCAGCCAACATGTATTACTGTATCATCATGCCTACGAGAATTTAACTTCAAATACTGCCCTGTAAGGAGTCTTTAAAACAAACACACAACAAAAAAAGAAGAGTGAAGTAACCCCATAAGGGAGTGCTGGAGACAAGAACCAAGGATCATCATGACAGTGAAACCATGAGAGTTTAGAGCAGTAAATTTGAGATAACCAGGGCAGGCACTGGTGGGAAACTACAGATTTTAGAACAGAGAACAAGGGAAATGAAAACCATTTTGGTCAGTGAGTAACTGGAGGGAGGAGATGGGAAGAGGCACATCCATGGAATATAAAGAACATGACTATTTTTCAGTGTCTGTGTTTAGCACTTAAATCAATGGCCTTGTTTCCAAAGGTAACTCACAGCAGTTGCTAACTACCTCCTTAATGTTGGATTGCTTACAATTTAGCATCAAAAAAAGCAGGCACTTATTTTGGTGCCTAATTTTAGACATTCAATTTCTAGACCTTTGTATACATATTTTAGGATCCAGAAGAAACGTGAAATTTATAACAGCCTCCTCCCAGACCTGTATGCTACCACTGCTGATGCCACAGAGGAAATACACGTTTCTTCTTGAGCTATTGTTTGCCTTCCCTCCATCAACAGTAACTCATAATATAAAATAAGAAACTCACTTTGAAATAAATGCCAACTTTATAGCTGTGACGAAGTCAGACAATACTCCAAATATGTAACAGCCCAGGTTTTATTTAAAAAACGTAGATGTGGATCAGCTCTTCCCTGGAGTTCACACAGCGTTCAAACACAAGGGTGGGGCCCCCCTCTAAAATTAGCCTGTGAAAAGCTATTTTTATAAGCAGGACACCAACCTAGATAACACAGCTAACAACTCACGCAGCCATTAGGTCTGCTTAAAACCAGAAGGATGACTAAAAAGTAATGCACAGCCAAAAACACACTGAATCCTAAAGCTTCATCTGCAGAGTGCACACGTGCATGCCCTTCTAAAGGCTACCTGAAGAAGYGATCTTGAACTGAACAAAGATTTTTCTCTGTACTCCTGCCATATATAATGCATAACACAGAGGAACTATGTTGACAAAATGCTATGGTTATTGAAAAAAACATTCAGCTAAAGCAAAAGAATCCCCCATTCTGCTCCACAAAGCTGCAGCAGTGCTAACCTGCAGGGGAGAGCTCATTTTCCCCACCTATTCATTCCTTGACTCTACAAACATTGTGAAACTAGCTTTTGAAAAGCACCTAATGCTGCAAAAGAAACCCCTGAGAGCTTGGCCAAATTTTTGACAACAAACAGGAGGCCAGTTAAGAAGGTGTGCCAAACTTCTGCCAAAGGGCAGGCTTCTTACCTTGGGTAAACATTTCCAAAAACTTGTCCCAAGAGCTGCACTCGTGCCAGATAGCCCAACAGTGGGTACACAGTCATCATCTGGAACAGCAGGAATATTCTTGCAACAAATGACATGATGTCATCGCTGGGAAAATTATCTAGAAAATTCTGAACACAGGAATAATGTTACATTTATCAATCACGACTTTACAGCAAGTATTGGCTGAGGCTTTATAGCTCAGTGCAAGAAAGAATAAAACTAAATGATTAAAATTCCCAAATCAACTTTGCAAAATGTGATGTTCTCCATTTCAACTTTGCAATCTTTATATCACTAAAAAGCAGCTAACTCTTGAATATTAACAAAAAGGTATCTTTTTTTTTTTCCAGCACTGAAGATGAAATTACGTTCTTCTTTTGAACATGCTTAAATAATTGGGGCAGTGCAATGACTCAGGCAAATTTATACACTCCTATTATCCAGCAGACCATCTCCGACATTAAAATAAGTTAATTAGTAAAACTGGATCATATAAAAGTGGGGAATGGATAATACAGGTGGAAACCCTTGGAAAACTGTATATATAAAACTTAGATATCATGGAAATATATACACAGCTCCATAACTACTTAGTATAATTACAGACAATAAAGTTAAAGGCTTGTCATTTAACTGTGGATTTCACCTCATGAGATTATTTCAATTGGCTCATAAAATCATTTCATGGTTAAACAACAATATCAGTTCTTACCTATCTGACCTAAGTCAGAGGAAGCCTTTAAATGCTGCTTTCTGACTTAAAACACTCTGCAAGAGACGTGAACACCCGGCATAAAATRAATCACACTCTGATAACTTCTGGCCTTGAAATAGTTCAGGGCATGGGAACGAGCCCTGCCGGTAGATGCTGGAGGCCTTAGCAACAGCGTTACGTGCGAGGTGCCAGTATCTAAAGAACTTCTTTGGCAAGGCCCAACACATCATTAGCCTCCACACCATTCTCATGAGGGCCGTGATCTAAAAGAGCCATAACTGACTCTGTGTTTCTATTTTTGAGCACCTTCAACCAGCTCCAGTGATGACTGGGACTTRTCACTGCACACAAAATTCAAATATACCATAATACCTAATACTCTTCAGGATTAAAGTAACTAGAGGAATTCAAGCTTGCACTCTTCATTTATTCTTTTCATTCCTTTCTTGATCACTTTCACRTTTGCTTTTGGAGAACTCCAAGCAAGCTCACATGAACACCAATTTGACATCCCTTGCACTACTCCCTTACCTGTGGTAGTGTCCACAGGCACTAGGCACTCAAGTACATTCAAGAACAGACATGTAACAGGAGCAATTTTAAAAAATACATATTTATTAAAAAGTCAAGGATAAATTTACACAGTGAAATGAAACACCTTACCTGTTCTATACATTCTTTGGATAATGGTGGGGAAGGAAAAGATGCAAAAATTATCACGCCAACATACAGGTATGTTAATCCCACCAGGAAATAAGCAATGGAGAGGTCTCTCACCTGAGGAGAAATAAAAACTTATTTTGACCAGTACTTAGAAGAGACAAAATGAAACCGTCACGACAACTCTTCTACTGAGTTAAACAGAAGGTTTACTTGAGTAGAGACTTCAAATTAGGTCCTGGATCAAGTCACAGAGCTGTTAGAAGATACTTCAAAGTGGAGCCARGTGTATCAGTTTAGGGTCCTAAATACTTCAACTGTAATAACCTGTATCTCTAATACAGATACCTAAGTGTGGGCTTAAAGTACAGGTTTAAAAGGAACAAGCTCTATTAGCTCAGGCACAAGCACCAAATGGGACCATAGGGCTTCCAGAACAGGATTTTATAGAATCCAGCCAGCTCAAAAGGTTGGGCAAATCTTCCTTACTTTTGTGCAAGAAAGTGGCTTCCTATGTGTTTATTCACACTATCACCTTGATAAAAGCAGTATATCTTGTACCTTTGTGGTCTCCCAAGGGCAGGTGGCCCCCAGGGAAAGTATAAAGATGCAAGGTTACATGTTGCAAAGAAAGTGCAGGAGGAGGAAGCCAAGTTTTAATAACGGACCTGGGACCTCCTGTGCATTTGCCCCTGCATTTGTAGTAGGAGAGTGATGCCCTTTACCAAACCACAGGTTTTGCTGATCAGACAACTGCCTGCTGCTAACGCGCTGTGCCGGGACAGTGCTCATGTGCTCCAGCAGCTCTCTCCTGCCAGCTACAACCTCCTGCTGCTGCACAGTTCGACACCTCGGCTGTGCTTCTTTACTCTTCTGAACAATTAGATTTTTGTAAGCATTTATGAATAATTCTCATTCACTGCAAATATTAGAGACTAACCAGGGTAAAGTCTTTTAGCAAAGACATGCACTCCCATCTTTTGAAGAGAAAACGTGGACAATTTTTCAAAACGTACCCAACTTCTCTAGAAGAACATCACCTGACCTAACCTGTTTTCACTTGCTTTAAATAGAGAGCTGTTATATTCYTTCTGTATGAAGATTAACTGTTATATTCCTTTTGTACGAAGATTGCAGTTTCTTATGTAAGACACACAGTAACTCACAGTTGTCTCTGGACATTCTCTGTGCKTAAGCACTAGAATCAAGGCTCAGATCACCTTTACTGTGGCAATTTCTTGCTGTTACCAGGGAAAGGAAATTCATGCCACTGCCTTTGGATTAGACTTGAGGAAGGGAAGCCAACTGGTATTCTATTACCTCT